TCTGCGGAAAGAAAAGGGGAAAAAAGATACCCGTAGGTTTTGTGGCAATAGTCTTTTTTTGAAAGTTGCTCATAAGTGACCTTTTACGTTGTTTTCAAAGGTCTCCCGAAATACTAATACATTCAGAGAATGCCACATCAGAGCCAATTGAGCCTAAACGGGTCGTCGGGTAGATGAACTGGACCAACAAAGGGGGAGAGGGCAGATCAGGGTACGTCAGGCCTTATTCGGGTTTTGCACCGATACCAAGTGCCGAGCGTGACGGGAGAGGGGTGCGTGGCGGCAAGCATAGGGGGCGACTTCGGCTGCGCCAGACATCTGTGCCCGATCCGGCCTCTGGTCTTCCTGACTCTGTCTTGACACCGGGCAAGCCGGGTGAGAGCGGTAAGAGAGAGAGAGAGTGCGCAAGGGCACACTGTCACTTAAAATTAATTCACGCGCAAGTCACAGTTCCTGCACTGCCCTCTTGTGAAGTCTACGATACGGTTGATGGTCGAACTGTAGTGCGTGTGTACGTATGCTTTGTACAAGTTCGTTACGTCAATCGGCAAATAAAAAGTGCATTTGTTAGAGCAGCCAGTATATGCTAGGCGCGATATCATTACTCATAACCAAATAAAACTGTCAACAATTGCGCTGTGGAGATAGATTACTGAAATGCTAATTTCTCGAAGGAAGTTCCAATTTTTTATCCGACTCTCTTTCCCCGAAAACAAACTGATGACGTCAGGAAGAAGACAACGCTAAAACGGAAGCAGTGTCCATTCGATCCCTAGAGCTGCGAGGCTTTTGCACGAAAAAAACGACTAACAAGACGAGGCGTTTTTATAAACTCCAGAACGCAACTTTCTAAGGCAGAATTAAGACCTTTACAATTGTCTGCCTTTGTCTAGTCTGGCGTTCCTACTGAAGGAAACGTCACATCTATTGACACCAGTGACGCCAGTAGGCGCTTTCGCGTTGGTTTTAACTATTAGGTTATTCAGAAGAGTATTTGGCGAGCATACGTAGCTTTCGATAAATTCTCATCGGGCCGTTACAATTATATAGGGAGGGGTGCAAATTAAATTGATGGTAATAAAGTTATCACAAAACGCAAATTAGTCATGGGGATGAGGGAGGGGGTGTGGGG